CGTAGTTCAGCTTTGATTTCTGTTCTATATTTGCTATCAATTTTTGCTCTGGAGAGTTCGATTATTCGGTTAGCAAATTTATTTGGCTTAATTTCGATATTATATTTTTTCCTTTTGCAATTGGGATCGATTTTCCTGAGCAGGTTCCACGCTTTTCTGCTAGAATGTTTAAAATCAATTTCTTCTACTGTTTTAATCCATCGGGTTTTTCGTGCTATGGAGAGTGAGTTTAAGAGTGCATCTGCTGTATCTGGGTTATTATTTATATGGTATTCATTATATAGGTCATCACTCTCTTTGCTCCATCCCGGAATGTACTCTTTTCTGTAGCCCCTTGGGATGCATTTCTTTGCTGTTTGGATGACCATCTTGACAAAGCGATCATAGTTGTTAGCTTCTGGTTTGATCCAACTTATGTTATCGTCTAGACGTTTTCTGTATTCATTCCAATCTGCCTTGAGGAAATTCCAACGAGGTTTTGGAATGGAATTTGTAATGGGAATTTGGGTTCCAACTTTGATCAAGACCGGTCTGTGTTGGCTTCGGGGAAAGTCACTGAGGACTTGTCTACTTGTTTTTACTGAAAATCCATGGTTGTTTTTAGTCACGAAACAGAGGTCAGGGTTGTAATCTTTTTGCCATCTTGCGGATCTGAATGTGCCTATATCTTTTAGGTCGATTATGAGAGCTAGGTCATTTTGCTCTGACCATTTGTATAGTTTAATCCCATTTTCGTCATTAGTGGTATAGCCCCATGCGTTATGGTGGCTATTGAAATCTCCTATAATGAGTGTAGGATGTTGTACACAAGGGAGAGTTGTATCTGTCCACATCTCACCTGGGGGTTTGTAAACGTTTACTATATTGATTTCTCCTATACTTAAATGGATAAGTGAGTTACTGAAGTGCTAATATGCATCCATTCGGAGATATCTTCCCTGACATATGTTGCAGTTCCGTATTTGTTGTGGTAAGTGGCGTTTGTAAGTCTGAAGCCCGGAATGTTGCCTCTGTTTAGGAGATCTT